ATTCCTGCTCAAGTTAATATTCAAAAGCTTAAATTCAGTCACTGTCAAGTTAAAACAGACAAGAATTACCATTATAAATGCATTGGAAATTGACTTAAAAATGAGAAAACAAAACACGCTTGAGGAAGTGAACACACAGGAGGTACTTGCACCTCAATAGGGGTGACATTTCTATTATGCTGGCAATGACCTCTACAAATGAAACAGTTTATAAAGGAGGATATGAACATTCAATTTAAACACTATAAAAAAAAATATCTGTTGAAGACTTTCAAACAGGTAAATACTGAAGTTCTACAAATCTCTCTATGCTTTCAAACCTATGTGTGCCTACCTACATGGTAAACACCACCAAATGAAATACCTCAGCATGCATGCATATTTAGACTAGGATCTTTTGCAGCAATTATATCAACAACTGGACCAAATTTCAGAGGTTGATCTGCTTTTCTTTTGCTGTGTTGGTTTTTTTGTTGTTTGGAGTTTTTTTTATGTGAAAATGCAATTGTCATCATCTAGATATAGACTACTTTTCAAGTAATCAAAGCTTAACTTACCTTTATTCAGACATCTACTTCACCTGGCACCTTAAAAATCTTAGTAAGATGTCCTCAGTACACATTTTAAAAATTGCTCCTCAAGTAACAAGACCAGAATCTAATGGAAAAGATTTCCTACTCACCAACAATTTGTAAAACAGGACAAAACTACCATAAAATGGTTGCAAAAACAAAACCTTAACAGATTCCCTCCTCTGCTTCCCAAAAACTTTCAGACAGAAGGCTTTGGAAATAATTAAAAGCTGAACAGAAACACAAGTACCTTCTAAAAAAAACCAAAAACAAAGTAATAAAAAACAAGAACCAACCAACAAGCCATCACGGATACCAACATTGACAGTTAGCTACTAAGAAATTCCATGAAGATCAACTTAACCAACTTTAATAACAGTATGGAAGACTGAATTTTGTCACACCAATTAGAAATCTGGTAAACTGTTGGATGGATAGCACAAAGTCTCCCTGTAGTTCAAATGCAAACCTGACCATGCTAACTCTAAATACTGGTGGTTTATTTAGAGAATCACAACTATTGGGCAACTTACCATCTTAGCAGATCAGGAATACTAATATCATAAACTGCAAAGCTGTAATGTCTGGGAAGCCAGACATGCAAATAATGTTGGATTTTAGGGCAGGGTTTGAATGAAGGATGTGATATCCTTAGCCTGGCTAAAGGAAACAATGAAGAGTAACAGTTTCCCTGGCAGCTTCCCTACCTCTCTCCATGTCCTAGCAAGTGCAGGGACCCAGCCTGCCTCAGACTACTGTACTGCAACCCAGTGTCCATACATGCTCCTATTCATAAAGGGTTCTTTTTAATCTTTCATAACAAAAAGTGATCTATAAGTATTTTGGAAAGAAGAATCAAAACAAAAGAGGAACTGACCCAATGTAGAGGGATGCTATTTCAGTTAGAATGGGATTCAGAATCCAGACACCAGCATAAAATTGTGTTTTAGGCTTTATGAAGGACTATACGGGGTGGGCAGGTGGGCAAACAATGGCCAATTCTATGCCATAAAGCAACATCAAGACAACATGAGCTTATACACAAGTAACTCTTGGTCTACAGGTATTGAAAAATCAAACTAAAAAGTGGGTGACACTAAATGAAAATTTTACTTTTGTTATCCACTATAAACCTCACCAATTACCAAGTCAGGAATTGACAGTTCTGACAGACATGAGAAGATGTAATATACAATATTAACATTTGGAACTATATGTCAGTATGTTTGCAGAAAAATAATTCTAAATTACACTTGTTTTCAATAAGCAAAATTACATCCAATTCAGAAATCCAATCTGAGTTTACAGGAGGCCAGAAAAAAGTGTCTGCCAAGAGGGGAGATTCAATAGAAAGAACAGAACAAATACATTGAGCCATTTGAGTAAGTGTACCAACTTTGCTACACAGAGCAGCAAATAAAGCAACAGAGACAGAACAGTGCATCTTGAAACAAGCAGGAACTCATCAACCAGTGATCATTTCTGAACTCAACTAACACACCTACCTAAAACATAAAGGCATGACAATCTGGACAAACCAACCCAACTTCTTGGCATGGGACCATTTTCTCTTTGATGATTATGACAGCAACTGCATTTTTGCCTCCCTTAATATATTGCTAAGTAGTAAAAAAAAACTGTTCAGTCATACACATGAAGGGATAGTTCAACACACTGGACTTTTTTTGTGGGGGAGGTAGGTGGCTAGAGCATTTAAATACTTAATAATCCCTCAGCAAGTGTTTCTCAAACTAGGTTGCAACTCCCAATACAGTTACAAGTTCCAAATGAGTTGTGAAAGGTCAAGAACAGCACAATTATTTTTTAAATGCAAAAATAAGGTTAAACAACAATTATTATAATAAAGTCTAAGAGAAAGAAAAGAATCAACAAAACAAAATTATTTCAAAACATCACTGGAAGAGTTCAGTTCCTACAGGGCAGAAAAGTGAGAAGCAGCATTAATTACTGGCTTCAGATGTTTACATGAGGCAGGGAACAGCTAACTACCCTTAATTGCTAGCAACAGCTTGGCTCCCCAGGGTGAGAAGGGCAAGCATTTTCAACCTTAACTAATAATTATGACTCTTGTCCTGTAGAACCAAGCTGCTGCCAGCAGTTCATGACAGAAAGCTATTGGTTGGCACAATGAGAGGGAAGGTGTTATATTAAGAAAGATAAACCCCCAGAGTCTGAGAAACATAACACTTCAACAAAAGAAATGCACTCAGAAAACAGAAGGTCCTTCCTGATTAGCACCTTCATGTCAGAACACTACTACAGATGAGTAGCCTAATTATTCCACACTAGAAAATATTTCTCAAGTCAGCTTAACTACTTGCTTGCCATTCTTTCCACAAGAAGGTTGGGGACATGTACACCAAATCTATTTTCTTTCTACTGTTTGCTGTAACAGTGTCTTTGCCTCTACTTCCACCTGTTTCTTGGACAGTGGGCAATGCCACACTTCCTCTTTCCAATTCAGAGTCGTTGAAAGATGTTATGAGCCTATGCTAGAGGAATAAATCTAAACAAGAAAAGGTTTCAGAAGATTCAGACTGTAAGAACTCCTATCTAATAGCTGGTATGTAATATTTAAGTCTGGATAAGCTGGCAAATCAAACTACACAATTCCAAAGTTTTCTTCCACTGAAGATCTGCAATTGAATTTCTTCAGGATCACTCATGTCCAAAATTACATTTCTATTCCTTAAAATGTACTTACCACCGGTGGGCTTTAAATTTCAGATTTAGAAGACATTTTCAGTACCAAAACTGAGTTTTGCCATACAAGCATGAGCAGGCTATTGTGTTTTGAAGTATTGTGGATAATGTCAGCTAGAGTAATATGGCCTTTGTGCATACAGTACTGAAGCGAATACTAGTGATCTTAAACCTTTCCCATCACAGGCTACAACAAGCTGCATTACCTTAAATTAGCTAAAAGGTATCACAGCAGCATTAGCTAGGGTTCATCTGTTGTACAGTGAGTTGACTAAAAGCTAACTACAAGGCATTGGTATCATCATTGCTATTTTCACCCAGCTGCCATAACCAATTAGCTGGAATAAGACAGTACTTGAAACACCCAGCTATGGCTATGAACCTCCATTTGCTATTGAAGAAAAGCTCAATAGTCTGGACACAATCCCCTCTACAGGCACAATCAGCTAAGAAATACAATGAACAAAACTGTGTAACTGGATTCAGTAATAAGTTCTACAAGGTGTTACACCCTGAATACTAGGTATAGGCAAAAGGAATATCCTAACACTTCTGCAAACTGCTAATATGAAAAAGAAAAGGTCTTGCCATTACTTTTTAAGTTTTGTGGCCAATACAGCTAGCTACAAACATCTTCATGTGGTTTGGGTCTGCTGCTTATCAAGTTAGTCTCTCCTCTTCCTTTTTCATTACAAACTCTCACTGGTAGAAAGACAGTACCTGTTTTCTGTATCTCAACTTCTGAAGGTTAGAAACGATTTTTTTAACTTTGATATCCACAAAAAATGGAATAGGAGTTTGGCCAAAAGGTTAAAAAAAATTGTGTGTTTATTTCTTTGGTGTTTGTTGTGTGGTGAAGTTTTGTTATTGTTTTTTTTAATGAAGAAAGGAAGAATATGCTAACATGCATACTGTTTGGCTATTTATAATTTTAAAGTTTATAATGTTATACATTGAGATTACACACACTTACAGACCAGCTACCTTTGCCTCTGGAACCCTTCTGAAAAATTGTTCATTAAACCTTGGGTTTGGCTGGCAATAAAGCTTTCACTAGTTGAAAAGTATCATACAAAGACAAACAAAAAAGATTCTTCTAACCAAAGAAAACAAAAATGTGCAGTTTGGCATGGAAATAGGTCCTAATGCAGATCAACATAACTGATCATTGAAAAAAAGCCAATATTTGTTAAATTTTACAGTGAAAGCTGCAACACATCAGGCATTACATCATATGTTTTAAACCACAACTAATACCACCTGCTGAATTGAAATAAGCTGGTGCAAAAGGAGGCTTTTTACACCAACATTAGCACAGGTAGAGAAGACTTGCCAAAATACCATCACCCCAAGACATCCTTTCAAAAACTCCATTCCTAAAGGAGCACAGTGAGCAAAACTAGTTTTGGGGGGTTTTTTATGTTACTTATAAAACTAGGTGAAAAATTATGCACAGTCAAAACCAAGATATATAGGTAAAAGGCCTAAAAACTGATGCAACTTTTACTCTGGTCTTTACTAAGCATATGATTTCTCAAAAGTTGTATATTTTCTAGCTGCTTTAAATACTTGTATAGCATCTTCAACAAATGTGTGCACAAACCGAAAATATCTTCCGATTATTTTACTGCAAATCAGCCTTAAAGACTGATTGGTATAGAAATAATCAGATACAGCTTGTAAATATAACAGAAGAGTCTTGCACATTGAAGTTACATTTATAGTTAATTGCTTCAGCTTGTAAGCTGTGCCTGACAAAGATTCTAGGCGGCTAACTGAAAAGTTGTATTTAAAAATAGGGAGTGAGCATTTAAAGTTTTAGGTGTCTGTAGGCTGCAATGTATTTATAACCTGCTTAGAGAAAATCAAAACAAGCAAAGGTCTTTTCAATACAATTCTAGGGTAAGTGCTGCTCTATGCAGTCAACTTATTCTGCTCTTTTCCTTCAAATACACAAAAGGATGAGGCAACAAAAATATGACTCCTCCACAACGTAAAATTGTTGCCTATTTCTAAAAGGAAGTGTTTTAATAATCTGATTTTTTACATAACACAATGATCACTAATCCATACACAAAAATGCATGTGAATAATAGATTCTTTCATGTTACACAAAAACAAAAGCCATCCCACTATGTAGTAGTTACTAAGACAGCAAGAACACTGAACCAAGGAAAAATTCCAATAACTATCCCAAAAAAAAAAAGTGAAACAGATTAGATGTTATACCCTTAAAACACATTTTAGAACCAAGTAAAGATGCACACATATATTAGTTTTATAGATATTAGGTTTCTCTTTTTACATTCCTGCAACACACCTTTTTGCACCACTTATAGACTGTAATGTTTTATTATTGCAATAGGGGTGTATAAACACAGAAGGAAAATTTTAGGTTTGAAATAGCAATTTAGCCCAGGTCCATTGTAAAGTCTATGCAGGCATAATTGTCCAGTTTACAAGACAGTGACATGATGTGGTGTTTGATAATGATCCCTTAGCTTCTCAGAACATGGTTCATGCTTCTGAGATGGTATTGAGGAGACTATAAAACCCCAAACTACTGTCTTGGCACATTTCCATTAAAGGTAAATACCAGAAGGCTGAACATGGCACACATGGCTTTTCAATGAACACTAATGAGCAGTATGAAGTGCAGGTAATCAGAGCTGGAGATGGAAAAAAACAAAGCTTCTCAACAGATAATGAAACTAAATGGAGTACAGGACATTAAAAAATAAACTAGCAATAGTTTAGGTCTTAAGAGTTTTGCTTCTACAGGCCCTACAATTGTTTTCTTTTAACATGAGAGAAGCTCTCTTGTACTCATTTAAAAGCTTGCATTTTTGCAGACAGGGCTTACAGAATTTGCTTGAAATTAATTTTCTCTCCACTTCATTCTTTAAAGTCTGCTGTCCCATCTCACTTGCTACAGATCTCAATAGAGAACACTGAACAGCAGCACCCTGCTCTGAGTGAATTTCAGTCCAAATAAACTCTTATAATTCTCATTCTAATCTAGTTTAGAGTCTTCTGGTCCTGAATTTTACTCACCCAAAACCAACAGAAGGACTTCTAAAAAAAAAAATTATTCAAAATACATATGAAACAGCATTAAAATTATTGAAATCTCAACTACAGCAGTTGGTTCACTACTTGCCTGTGGACTAACAATGGTTCTCACCTTATTGTCCCTCCTCTAGGTATGTTTGAACACTTAAATAAATGAAACAAATAAACCACTGGTAGGAACTTTTCAGAAGAGTTCGGTTTTCATGAGGATTGAAGGCATGAAAGAACAAAAATGTGCAAAATGTAAAAGCAATGTTTTTCACTATCCTGTAAGGCTGACCAATGACAAGTAGGGGAACCCTTTTGCCTGGATTGCTGGCAACAGTCTCAGAACAATTTATTCATCATAGATTTTTCTTTTTAGCTGGCAACAGATTTTCATCAGTTAGGTTGCACATCTTTATGAACTGTTTACCAAAACCACCCAAATGAATGCAAGGAACTTTTACAGCCAGATTATTTCAGGGTTTAGAAAGGAGCATTTTTCTAGATAATGGCTAAACCAAATTTAGGAAAAAAACACCCAAGAAGTTCAAATTCAGAATGCCACCCTGTTTCCAACCAGCATTACATGTATTTAAAAAAAAAAAAAAAAAGAAAAAAAAGGGTGACATCATTATTCTCAGGGAAGAGGGTTAGTTTATTGCTAACTCTAGCTTTTGTTCCATGCTTCACAAATCCTATTTGTGCACTGTAGATTAATACTTACCTGAAAACGTCTTATAGGAAATTCACTTTAAGGTTGCTTGTCTTACTGCATGTGGAGTTACAACAACCGGACAGTAAATCCAGAAGGTTTTATAGTTGACAGAACCTCCACCAAGGCTCCATCTACAGAAATACTTAGCTCCTTTGATTTCATTTTAAGTATCCTATAAAAATGTCTTTAAATAGTAATCTTAGCTTTCCTGAAATCTAAAATTGAAATGCAGTTTAATAATTTCTAAACAGAAAAGATAGCTTGAGAATGTTCATAAAAATTCAAGGACTAGGTTTACTTTTTAAATAAAAGGTTCAATGCTTTTAAAGATCAAAACAATCATAACCAACCTAAAAAGCCCAAACTACCTAGATACAAAAAGCTGTCTAATTAAAAACCAGGGATATTCAGAATTAAAATAATCAAGTATAATCTTAAATATTTTATTGACATCTACATCCATATGGCTTGCCCATTGTTAAAGAGCTGCCATGAAAAAATAATCAGCAATATCCAGAGACAATAAAGATTAATAAACTTAACTTCCTTGCTTAACACAGCTACATATTGCATGCTTTCTCAGAAACAACTAACTATTCATGGTTTTACACAAACATGAAGTTGTTACATGGTTGTAATTAATTTAATAGTTTTAAATATTTAAGATATCACAATTCTAATTCATAAAGGAAAGCAATTGCTCTTTATTTACTTACCAAGACTGTATTGTATCTGTCCTCCAAGTCAGTGATAAATGAAGGAAATGCTGGTTTTGCCAGCTAGTTCAGAACAAAAAAAAACCTTAGTCCTGGTCTCTTCACAAGAATATGGACAATTTTTTTCAAATAGTAGATGCTGAAAACATCTACATTTCAGCTAGTCACCAAGGCTCCCTTTAGAGTCAGTCAATGAACAGAAGCATGCACTTCTTGAAGGCTCCACACTGCTCAAGCTCCACATAAACCCCAGTTATTGGGGTGGGAAAAAAAAAAAAAATCACACAAGTTTTTAAATACCTAGCACTCAAACATTTAGTGCCTTTGAGGAAATCACTTAAAATGTTAATGTTGTGCTCCAAAAAAAGCCTAAAATTCTTTAAAAAAATATACCCACAATTATTTACTGTCTAGTAGCAAAAGTCAGTCGGTCACAAAAGTGTGATTAATTTCTTATAACTTTAGCCATCAATTTTTATCCACCTAAAGCAGTCACTGACATCTAGTCTTTCCCAAAATATGTTTCTCAATATGAGTTGAATGTTCATTTAAGCTGCTCAGCTCTCTCTGCTGACTATAGAGGGAGCCTGGATGCCTAGATTTTAGACAGCTCAAGTAATTAGATTAAAACGTCCCCATTCCTACTATTTAACTAAATTTTATACAAACATATATAACAAAATAGCATTCATAACCAACAATAAAATATTAATATGCAAAGCAAAACACAAACCTCTTTCAATTAATGCCAGTTATGTCTGAAATATTAAGTGGAAAGAACCTAAGTCAGTTTTACAGATAAATTTCTTTTAATATTATTTTAGCATTGACTGATATAATTTGCTGATTGTTTTCTTAGGGAAGAAGGGACCAAGTCAGAAAGGACTCCGTATTAGTATTTGACGTTTGAGTTATTTGAACTTTACACTCAAACATTAATTGGTTTGTTTATGTGGTTTATGTACATAAGCACACAGACACATGCACATACATACGTGTGTGTACATATACAGTGCTTGCAGACTGTTAAAAAGGAATATATGCTTATTTTCATTCTCACTATCCTTTGGCTTTTTATATCCAACTTCCTAACGCACTAGACTGGCATTAAGGAAAAGTGCAATTCAGAGATTCCATGTAGTTTGGGCACATCATAACATTAGGAAATTAAACATTCTACAACAGCATTTCATTTCAAGGAACATTAGTGTGATGGGCTAACTATGCCAATTATCTTTAAGCTCAATCTTCACCTGCAGGAACGATACCGAGCTCCCAATTGCCAAGATACAAATGAAGCTCTATGCAAAGTCACAAGCAGGCTGACGTAGCTTGCTTTCAAGGCAAGGCATTATCGACTACAGGAAAGTTCAGGATCATGTGGCTAGCAAGAAAAGCAGTAAAACATCAAAGTCATCAGTGAAAGTAAAAATTGGTAACTGGCTGGGAAAAAATAATGTCTTTTTTAAGATAAAAGCATAGGCCACAGTTCAAAAAAATAAGAAGGAACTCTGGTGTAAACAAAAGTCTCTTATTCCAGCCACTGTGTCTGTAAGCCTGTAATTGGAAAACATAACCTGTGTTGAAGGTCAGAGGTGTTTGAAAATGCTGCCTCACCTTCAGCAGAAAAAAAGCTTGCTCAATACAGATTAGAGAGGGAGAAATCCCAAACCATAGCTTCCCAATAATATCAGGTGTCTTTCAAACTAAATGTGTTTCAAACTGTAAGGATTACTTTCACATCATCTACTAATAAACTGAGCTATGATTCTTTATGTCTTCAGAACTTGTTGCCATGAAGGCTTGCAGGTGGCTTGTGCCTCAGTACAATAAAAATACTTTGTTCTCAGACTCAGTGGGCTATGTCCTAACTTTCATATTCAAAGCATTCTTATAAACTTCAGTTTACAAGTGCTTGGAATATTTCTTCATAGCAGCAACAGTCTGATCTGGTGTAGCAAAAATGAAGTAGTTAAGATCTTATTTATATGAGTAGTGTTGTATTAAAACAAATCTAGTAACATTAGAAGAATCATCCTTATTTCACCTAGCATTTCAAGTTACTCCAGATCTTCTTCCCTGCCAACTCATATACAAATATGCTACTTAAGATTTAGTTGTTGCTTACCTTCCTCCTTTGAGACACGCTCAGAGCAGCAAAGTCATTAAACAAGGATGAATTTGGTGAAGTTAGTGGATCTGCAAAAAGAATGTAAATCAACACACTATATATTTCTTACTAAAAATAAATGTTACATTTTTTAAAACTTATTTCTGTATGGAAAAAAAATCCTTTCAGCAGAACTATGTTTAGCAACCACAATGCTAAAAACTGCAGCATTTATTAAATTCTGTGCAACTGCTCCATTGAAATGGTGCTCATTAGCAACATTTAGTAAATTCAATTGCTGTTGATGCTATTTTATGTTCAACTAACATTTCAACTAACATTTCAAAGCCTTCACCTTCAGTTACCTGAAATCAGTATCTTCTGTACAGTCTCACAAATAATGATGTTGCTCTTATTTGTCCTGTCATCATTCTGCAAAAATTTAAATCACAACTAAGGGTGGCAAAAGTCTACACTCTGTTAGTAGCTTTTTATCGACTTTTCTTTGTCCCTATGTATCCTTTCTGAAGTTGAAACACCAAAAAATGAATAAAAATCACAAATGCAACTTAAATCTCCAAACTGCATAGGTAAGGCTGTCAAATTAGTAAATGACTGCCAGCTGTAAATGTTAGTGTTTTGCTGAAACATTTTCTTCAACATTAATCAATACTCCTTAAAAGGGCAATTTTACTAGTGAAGCACAGCTTGTAGGGGCTGGGATGGGGGAATGTAGAAAAGAACCTGAGACACAACAGAATTTAAGCTGCTTTCCAAAAGTCAGTCTGGTTTCTCTCCTTCACATACATCTCCATCACTATTTGGCCTGTCACAGTAAAACTCTGACTGCATCTAAAACTCCATTGCCTTGAATAGCTAATTGTTTGGTGGGACAAACGAAGCAGAATTAATCACAAAACCTACTGGAAATTAACCAGGAGGAAAAAACCAAAACCAACACACAAATTTCTACTTTGAAGCTAGTTAATTTTATAGTAGTTATTATTACGCCTAAAAAATTATAACCCTAGTAAGTAGACTAGCTGCAGGGTCAGACATGCAAAGGGAGCTGTAGAACATCATTTACACCACAATTTTCAGAGCAGAACTATATTTTAAATGCATGCTCTTGCCATAAGGGAGTAGTACCCTCTTTTTTAAAAAGCATAATTTGACAGCTATATCTGAAATAATCTGCAGTGATTCTGACAAGCCTGTTACAGAACTTCAATATACCCTCCCCAATAGCTTATTGAGCTAGGGATGTGGTTTAGTGGTGGACTTGGCAGTGCTGGCTAGTGCTTGGACTTGATGATCTTAAAAGGTCTTTTCAAACTAAAATGAGTCTATGAGTATATGTAGGCCTGCACTATAGAGACATTTTGTTCAGTTGAAAACCATGTTTCCTAGAGCAGGAAAAAAAAAAATAAAGAGAAAAACACTGCTTACAGGATAAAACTGAATAGCTATTAAAATTAACCAGTTATGTGATAAATTTAACAAAACCTGTACAGCCCAAATTTAAGAATAAAACCCTGTACATTCATTCCACACAATGACTTACTTGAAAAGCACAATAAAAAGGGACACTATTATGGAGTAACGAACTATCAGTGTTTTACAGTGGATATCCAAACTAGCATTTCACTTCAAGTGGCAAGACTGATAATGACTTATTTTCATTTTTCCCCACTGAAGCAAAGAGAAGGCTGAAAAGTTACAAGTTCAGTAGCACTTCAGCTTTGTATTAGAAGTAATCACACAATACACTACTGTTGAAAAATAAAGTTCTACTGCACCTCAAATCAAATCAGAGAAGGAAAAAAAAATCCATTAAGTCTCACTTTTGTGAAAGTGAATCTCTTAAATTTCCAAACTACTTTTTATTTATTAAAAGTACTTACCATGGCCTGCATACTGCTTGGCACTGTCATTGAGAAGGCTAGGGGAGCTGCTGCTATTTGTCATCCTCTGCAAAAATAAAAAACAAAAGTGTACATGTAAAATGAAGGCACGAAAGACTGAGGGCATTGGGGATGACATTTAAAAAGTTTTAAGAACAAACTGAAGCCTGTGCTCACTCCCCTTTTAGTAAATACTCTAAGCAGACAGTGGTTTGTAGTTGACAAAAACATTTAGTACAATATAGCTTTTTGCACAAGAGCAATGCAGATACAAATGACTATATAAGAAAACAGCACTATCTTAATGAATTTCTTCTAACTTGTGAGGGTCTATCAAGCCTATGGTTCTCCTCCTGTACGTTGTCAAAATGTTAGGTATGCCAATTACTTATCTCCTCTAAACATTCTTTCACACTGTACTCCTGAAACAACTCCTCTCTTTATTACAAGATATTGTCACAACGTGAAACTTTTCCAATTAAAAATACTCAAACTATAGCATTTGATAGATTCTTTTTAAAAACAAAAGAACTTTTTGAGACCTTTCAGCAAAACTATGCAATTCTTGTAAGCCAGCAGAACATCTGAAAGCCTTACAACGTTCCTCCTAGGGTCCACCTGCTTCTCCTACATTCCTCTACAGATATGAGCTAGTAACAAACTGGACTAAGCGAGGCAGTGCTGCTCTAGCAGCTACCACTGCTTTGGAAGAGTTTACAAGTGTCTCTTCTTACTCCTGCCTATTATTTTCTTTGATCAGTCTCCCAAAATAAAGGAAGGGTGAGAAGAAAAGAAAGACAAGGTCAGGAAGTGGTCTCCATCATTGAGAGAGACAACCAGTAATTTGCTAAAATATTCCCTGGCAAGCATTTGACCCCATTAACCAGGAGTCTCCCAGACAATTTCCAGGCACTATTGAACAGTGAAAAGGTTTGAGATCCCTTCAAATAGGTAGTTTGCATGCTGCCTCTGCTTTACCCAGTGAGCATACACCAGCACAAACAAGCCATTTTGTGCCAGCTGGCACTAAGCACCAAGGAATGTTTCCAGGCATGTTTAGTTTAGTAGTCTAGGTGCAGACTAAGACTCAAAACTGGTCAGTCACTGGAGTTGCTCTTTATGCTCACATTTTTCTAATGTCAACCTCAACACTGATAGCTACTACATTGGACTTCAATGTCATTTCATTTAATTCTTAACCAGAAAGATCAACATTCTGGAGTACATTTGGTAAGAGGTGAAGCAAGAGAAGCTGGAGTGTTACCCATTATGGTAGAACTATAAACCTATTGCAATTCAAATTATCAGCATTTGCAATTTTCATACTACCACTGACTTCACCACAAGCTTTAGCACTTGTATCTAAAAGAGCAAATATATTGTGCCAAGTGGCTTTATGTGGAAAACAAATTGCAAAAGTAAAATAAAACTGCACTATTAGAAAAGTAACTTGAAGAAAGTTTTGGTTAAATATAAGTACTTCAGCAGATATCTTCAAGCATTACCCTCCTACTAACATGCTCAATCCCTCAATGTTTTATTCCCTCAAGTATTGTTTCCATTATCCGTGCTCCATCATTACAAGCAGCTTTCTACATTAATTCAGGCTCCTCTGATAAAACTCTTCATTTGGTACAAGTACGAACTAGTACACAAGACAGAACTCTATCACATCCAGGTGTCTTAGGACAATCTGTGCAATATAAATACACACGTAAATACCTTCAGCTTTCTCAAGACTTAAATGAAGAAAACTGCTATGTTCCTAAATATACTCAACTACCACAATGTAACTGTCACTGAAGGGAGTAACAATTAATTTGTTACAATAAGAGGATGCCCCTAGTGAAACTAAGTTTACTTACTGCTACAAAACAAGGTAACACTTAGGGAAAGCCACAGTAAATTAACAATCTTGCTCAAGTTGAGGAATGCTCATCCTACTGTCCAACATCATCAACAGAAGAACACAAAAATAAACAATTCCTGGATTACAGTATGCTCAACTGTTCATACATCATATTCTCTTCCTGACTAAGCAATGGAAAATAGTTATAGTTTTTCACAAATATTTGAAAAGCATCCCTATTATGCAGCTTTTCTTGGCATTTGATACATTTGTTACTGATCCTTATAAGAGGAACTGGTTCAGCAAGAAATCTCCTACAGGGAACCTATGGACTCGCATAAAATTTGTCCAGGTGTAGATAAAAATAGTGTTAATGCCTATTTATATCACTCAGATTTTCATATTAACTCTAATGCAAAAGGTCTACTGGAACAGGGATAATTGTGATACTGAGATCTGGGTTGGTATCAAAGACTGTTAAACTTGCTTAACTTGCAACCAAGCACTTATGCCATCAATATTCTACCTTGTCAAGTACAACAGTTAAACAATCAACAGACTTGCAATGTCAAAAGGTGACTGTGATGATGACAATTAGTGCTGATATGATAACTAGGAACACACAGCCCACAAGACACTGCAACAGAACACATTGTTCAGTTTCCTTAAAGCACAGTGCAAGCTAAGTTACAAACATCAACTGGGATTTTACAAAGCCCAGTCTTGTTCAAAGTGCAAATGTATTTTACATGAACCAGGGTTCTGAAAAACCAAAGCTGCTCTCTCATCTTGGGCAGCTCTTACTTTAACTGCCTGCAAGCTGTACCTTGAATAAGGTTAGAAACCTGCACTTCACCACTCTCACATGAATTTTTCATTTTGCTCATTTTTATTACACATGCACAAAGCTTCTTACCTTAACATTATTCATAGAAGACCCGCACACAATCAGTGGAGAATTTTAAAACTGTTTTAATATTAAAATTTCTACCACACCCAAAAGCATTTAGTCTTAATGAAGGTTATTCCTGTACCTGATTTTAACTAAGTCGGGCTGAAAACATCTTGAAAGAAAAAAGAGAAAGGAAAATCCAAGTCCTATTTGGTTTTGTTTTCCAGAAGGCAGTTTTGATTTTAAGTAACACTTCTCAATCTCTTCCAATGGTATTTAAGTATTTTCCATACAAATTGAATTTCAAGAAGAATGTAATCAGAAGAAACTCAAGCCCAAAGAATGAAAGCTCCAGAAAGGTAAGAGCAACCATTAACAGCAGAAGAAAACAAACCATTCATTCCTCTTAGGCCTGCCAGGCAAGGCAAGCACACACAAATGAGATCTTCAAACTTCTTTAGTATATCATGACTGACACCATATGAAAGTTAATATAGAAAGGCAATCAAGTGCCACACCAATGTCTCCAAATTCCATATAAAAGCCTTTTCTTTGCCTGCCTATTGCTATGATTTATTGAGGCTCTTTAACCACTAGTTAAAATTCCATTAGGCTGACTGGCATACATCCTGCCCCTCTTCCTTTAAAGGAATTAAAAAGTTGTTTCTCTTCACATCTGAAAAGAAAGCTACTGCAGAACAAAACTGTCACATTCAGCTGTGTTCAAGGATTTAATGTGATGCTTCAGCTTGAAGTTCTTCCACTGCTGAACTTTCTACCAGTAACAAAATACAGGCTCTTTAATTTCACAGAAAAATCAAGAAATAAAATTTCTCTGAATACTATGGCAATTCCTGAATATTCAAGCAATTAAGTTACAGGATTGAAATTTAGTTTTCACACCGTCTTCAAGCACTAGGGTTAATCAAAAGTAACTCATCTCCTCTTACAAAAAGATTGTGTGATAAGGTTCCGTGTCAAAAATTAATCTTTTCCCAAAGTGATTTATTATCTTACCTAGATACATTACCTATTCAAAACTGCTGCAAGTTAAGCTCTTTTAAAAAGGTCTTAATGTCTGTGTGAAAATAATGCTAACACTGACAGGAGATGAATAACATCACTGTAAAAATAATTTCCATATTACACAGAATCTTAGGGGTTGGAAGGGACCTTGAAAGATCATCTAGTCCAACCCCCATTATTAGGTTATTTTAATAATAGTTCTGAGGATTAAATACTTTTCACTGACTCACAGAGGGGTTGAACTAGGAAGAGACCTCTGGAGGCCAACCTGTTCAGCCCTCCTGCTTAAGCAGAGCCACCTGCACCTGGTTGCACAGGATGATGTCCAGACAGCTTTTGATTGTCTCCAAGGATGGAGACTCCACCAGTTCCCTGGGCAACCCATGCCAGTGCTCACTCACCCTCACAGGGAAAGTGTTTCCTGCTGTTCAGAGGGAACCTCCTGTTCCAGTTTGTGCCCATTGCCTCTGGTCCTGTTATCAGGCACCACTGAGAGAACCTGACTCCATCCTCTCTGCACCCTCCCTTCAGCTACATACGTACATGGATGAGACTTTCCTCAGACTTCTCTTCTCCAGGCTTAATAGTCCCAGCTCTCTCAGCCTCTCCTCATGGGGGAGATGCTCCAGTCCTCTCAACATCTTTGTGGTCCTTCACTGGATTCTCTCCAGCATGTCCATGTCTCATGTACTGAAAAGCCCAACACTACAAGTGTGACTTCACCAATGCTGAGCAGAGGGGAAGGATCACCTTGACATGTTAGCAATGCTCTACCTAATGCAGTCCAGGACAATGTTCACCTTCTTTTCAGTACTTCCTTGGTGCAGTATGCTAAAAAGAGAACTGTTAAAAGAAATACTCCCACCTTCCGAAAGTATACACTGCCTTGCCTCCACCCGTCAATATTCAGTAGCAAAACCCAAAATTATACCTGCGCTCAAGACAAATTTGCTGTGCTTTCATCTCCCTCCACTTAAAAGTATATTGTTACAAAATCCTCACCAAAATAGAGGATGAATAAAGCTCTGCTGCACACAATTAGATCTAATTTTACAAGGATTGTTACAAGTGATGGTTTTTGCTTTCTTCTCCACCATTTATTTTCCCCTAAATACATAAGAGATTTTTTCCCTCTCTCCATATTCCTCATTTTAAGTCTGAGAAAATAAGCGCTTTCCTCAGATTCATTCCTATACTAAGTATGTTACCTCAAAATATTTTGTAGTATTGTCACAAGATATTATCTTAATCTTAATATTTTTCCACTGGAACTATATCTCAGAATACTTCTAATTTTTTA